AATTAATCCAAGAAAAGTCAGCACACTGCTCATATCCTGTGATCCCTCAATTCCAGCATTGGGATTAAACCCCAAAAGATTACTGACAGGTCCCAAATATATACATAGTAACATTCATATATTAGTTAAAAACTGGAATAAAGGTAAAAAACAACAAAGATTGAGGAACAATTGAATAAACCACAATACATGAGTGTAATGAAGTGATTACAAAGTAAAAAACAAAACTCATCCATAAACCACAAAAAAAATTTTTTTTTAAAAAGAGTAATGACCATCAACTCAAATGGGGCTTGAAGATGGATGACAGCTTGGCTGCTTTCTACCTTATGGAGAAATGGTCTCCTAAATTATTAGGGTTCTTCCTGAATTTCCAGAACAATATGAAACTATGTTCCTCTCCCTATTGTCTTAAATCTCAACAAGAGTTCCTAATCAAGATGATTTTGAAAGGAGCTCTCCACCTTCTCTTCCCAAACCTTTCTCCAAGCCTGGTTTGGGATTTTAATATTTGGAAAGTTTTTGAGACAGGGAAGAGGGTAGGTAAACTTATATCCATGATCTTTTCAATAAAATAGAAGTAGTCATTCGCTAAAAGTTCAAGTGAGTAGAACTGAGAGTTTGAGGATAGTATGGTGAATATGGTGATGAGACAACAAGAGAGGAATAAAAGGATTAGAGTGAAGCAGTTACATACAATTGAAGTCACAAGATCATATAATGTTATACCTAGAAGAGACCTTAGAGGTCATCTAGTCCTTTTTTTTTACTTCATTTTACTGGTGAGGAAACTAAAGAGCGAAGTTAAATTACCTTTGCCTTTGCACAAAGTCACAAAGATGACAAGTGACAAAGCCAAGAATCAAATCTAGGTCCACTGACCTGTCAAGATTCCCATGCCAAGACCACTTCTCTCTTTTTACTATTAAGAGACATCCTGTTTTCCAGAGCTAAGATCCAGCAAGTAAACTGTGCCCTGAGCTTGGCATAACAACAATCCTTTGTGTTCACTCTTTGGATGAACTCAGCTGCAACAAAACCCCAAAATTGTTTCACATCAGCATCAGGTGGTCCCTGAGCTCAGTCAAGAACCTGTAAGACCCATGTTGCGTTCATGAAGCCCTACTATGAATCAAACTTGTCTCACTGTTGATGTTACCTCTCATTGTCAGGGCTATAGCTCAATGTGTAACCATCACTATATGCTTTGAGGTTTGCCCACACTAAAGCAGGTCTCCTCCTAGAAGAGGCCCCAGCACGTGTCTAACTTCCTTCCTCCAAAGGAATACAGAAATTTTTTGCTTATACTCGCTGTTAGCCCTATTTTTTAAATGTCGTTTTGACTTCATTTTATTTTATTTCTCAGAGTTAACTGTGGTTGTGAGAGCCTGTGTGAGTTCTTTGGTAATTTTAGAGTTAACAGCAGTTGCATAACCTCTGTGAGTTTTGGTCATTTGTTTTCAGATTTGACAGACTCCAAATCAAGTGCTCTTTCCATTCTTGCAATCTACCTCCTAAGTAACACATACTTGTTGTGGACCAGAATACTTCTAGAGTGCTTAGCAGTTTGGGTCTAGAAGTCTAGAGTTACCCAGGGATGGATCAACAAAAACACCAAGAGGGAAAGGGAATTAAAGGAGGAAGAATAACTCTGAATTGGTTGTTCACTGGGCCATACCTAAGACTTCATCATTCCTGTTCTACCTTCTGTCCTCACAGTCTCAGGTCCTCCATATTCAAACCTCTTCACCTTCATCATGACCTCTGGTCTCTTAATCACTTCACTTTTTTTCCCCTGTGCCCATTATCCCCATTCCAGCTTCACATTCACACTACTTGGCCGAAGGTAGAGAAGGGGTTGATATATAGATTATAATAGATGAAAAGAAATTATTTGTCCAGATTAATTCTTCTCATATTGGCCAGAATCTTTCATTGCCAATCTGACCTACTGTATCACTGTCTGATTAGTATAGGGTAAAGAAAACAAAAACAAAAACATAAAATATGATCCAAGTACTAAAGGAACAAAATCTAGGCCAGAAGCAAAAATTCAAACACCCTCTGAGCTTACGTCCTTTCAAATCAATTCGACAACAATATATTAAGCAGCTACTATGTGCTACGCATGTAAGGTGCTACAGATAGAGACAAAAAAAAGGAGCTTTGAATGGACTGGGAAAAACATGAATATATAAATGCCACTGACAGAAGTTAGGAAGAAGGTACCACCATTTGTGCATTCACCTATACAACCCAAGTCACCTACAAGTCTCTTGTCCTTCATCCCCTGTTGCCAAGACTTGTCCCCTCACCCCAACACACACACACACACACACACACACACACACACACACACACACACACAGAGCTATTAAAGCTTAAAACTGCCCTAAGACTTTTGGAATTGTCTATACTCATATTTGCTTGTCAATGTATGTATTGTTCCCTGCCTCAACAGAATGTAAACTATGAAGGCAATTATTTTTCATTCTTGTCTTTGTATCCTATGGCACGTGGCACGTGGCAGGAACAATAAATGTGTTTGATTGAATTGAATAAATACAAGATGGAGGCAAAGTAATTTCAAGGGGTGAAGAAAGCACTAAAAAGTAGAGAGGATCAGGAAAGGCCTTATGTAAAAGAGGGCATTTGAGATAGGCCTTTTCTAAAGATTTCAAGAGACAACAAAGTGAGAACATTCCAAGCACAGAGAGGAAAGATGGATTGTACTGTATAGAGAACAAACAGCACATGGACCAGCTTGGCTGGAACACAGAGTGAGGGGGAGTAATGTGAAATTAGGGTAGAAGGGGAGTTTAGAGCTCAACTGTACAGGGCTTTAAATACCAAACAGAGCTAGGGGTATGTTATTCTAAAGGCAACTAAAGACCTCTTCAACAAAGATGGATTGGTGAAGGGAGAGTGACCAATTAAGAGCCTAGTTAGCATGTATATGGTGCTCTAAGGTTTGCTAAGCACTTTACAAATCTCATTTGGTTCTCACAACAACCCTGGAAGGTAAGTACTATTATCATCCCCATTTTACAAATGAGAACTACGGCAGACAGAGGTTGCCACTTACCCTGGATCACACAGCTAGTAAGTATCAGAAGCTGAATTTGAACTCAGGTCTTCCTGACTCCAGGCCTAGCACTCTATCCATTGTGCTATTGCAACAATCCAGGCAGAAAGTGAAGAAGATCCAAACTAGGTTAGTAGCCAGGTGGGTGAAAGGATGTGGGCAAAAGCAAACAATAGAACTAGACAGACTAGAAAGAGATATAACTAGAAAGACTTGGGAATTGTATGTGGGGGTGATTGAGAATGACTCAGAGGCTGGAAACATAGGTGATGGCAGATGAAAATAGAAGGATATGGAAGCCTCCAGAAACAGGAAATTTGGCAAGAGTCGGTTTCATAGGAAAGAAAACAAGTTCCATTCTGGATGTCTTGAGTTTGAAATCTCTACTGAACATCCAAGTGATGCTCAGCAGGCAGCAGCAAATTCAGGACAGGAGTTCAAATGAGAAATGAAGGATGGATTTAGGAAGCACCTTCAGAAAGAGCATTGTGGTATAGTGGATAGAGAGCTGGCCTCTAAGTAGCACAGTTGGTAAGAGACCCAAGGGAGAATTGGATTCAAGTCCTACTTCTGACACAGTCTCTTAAGTCACTTAACTTCTCTAGAGCTCTAAAGTTGTAAAGAAGGTGTGCTGGAGTTTCCTCTACCAATGAAATTATAGGTCCAGAGCCTATCCATATCCCTATCCCGCAAAGAGGTCCATACCCTTATTAGTTGTGTTACCCTGGGTAAGTCACTTAACCTCTATCCCCCTCAGTTTCCTCAACTGTAAAATAGAGATAATAGCACCTACTCCCCAGGGTTGTTATGAGAATCAAGTAAGATGTTTGTGAAGTGCTTTACAATTCTTAAAGCCCTACATAAATGCTAGCTATTGTTAAAAGAGCCTTGGGTATACCCTCACTTAGCTGGAAAGAAGATGATGATCCAGCAATGGAAACTGACATTTAACCCACCACATTCCCCATCTGTTATTATTTTCATATATATTGTAACTTTGGTCATAACATGTATGCTACTCCTGTGATTGCTAACCAAGTAGTTTTATACAACCTCTGTTATTGCTAACCAAAAATTATATTTAATGATACACTAATAGTTTTGGCGTTTTTATTGCCTAAAGCAATGAGTCACTACTAGTGTTTTTTCCATAAATTCATCACAATGACTACTTATCTGTAGCAGACATCATGTGTTAAAGCTTCTGATATACCACAAAAGTATTTTCTTTATCACTATATCAAATTGAAAAGTCAAGAATAAACTTGCAGGTTGGACTCATAAAAGATCTAAGATTGTGTATCAGGTAAACAGGAGACAAAATAATAATGGCTAAATAATCTCCAAACAGGAAATACCACTAAGATGTCAGACAACTGCAAGACGGCAAACCTATGTCTTCTGCCTCATTCCTCCCTTGCTGGGTGTTTGTGTCAGCAAGTAAGTCGGAAGGTTTCTTATATTTTAGACTTCAATCCAAGATTATACAAATACATTCCTCAGGAGTGACTACAGGAGCCGCCTGTCTTGCCAAGTTTTAAAACTAAGCTGTCTCCAATCCCATCATGCAAATTTTCTAACCAGACTGAAACCATACCTGAGAAACTACTAGCAGTTTTATTAAAGAACGCTCCCAAACTTATGAAAACTCAGCACCAATTGAAACATACAGATGAGGAAACTGAGGCTGACAGAAATAGAAACTTGGACGCAAACTGACCCTATATGGTGCTGCTCTACCCCAGAGCGGCAGTCAAGCCATAGCGGATAACTTGGAAGCCACTCCCCGCCCCAAGGTTGGGGGTCCCCATCGTGTTGGCTACCACTGGTGTCCGTGAAAATCATTAGTGGGCTGCTGGAATGTTGGATCACATAAATGAAGGACAGCCCGGCCCAGCCCAGGGGCGATACTTACAAACTTGGCTCTTTTCTCCCCGGGCTTCTCCGTGGGTGCGGGGCCCGGCGCGTGGCCCTTCCGCCGCTGCGGTTTGATGTCCCGGCCACCACGGGATGAAGACGAGGACGAGGACGAGGACGAGGACGAGGACGAGGACGAGGACGAGGACGAGGACGACGAGGACGAGGAGGGCGCCCCGGCCAGGCCGTGCGGCTGGTGGGGACGCCGCGACCGGCTCCTCTCCATCCTTCCCGAGCTCTGCCTGCGTAGCTAGAAAAAGCTGCGGTGGCTCCGCCCGGAGCAGGGAGAGAAGGTGGGGCTGCTGACCACACGCCGCGCTGCGCCGCGGGGCACGACGCAGGCCAGAAGCCGGGGCACCCACCGACCCGATCTCGGCACAGAGAAACCCCGGATGCGGCCAAACCCAACCGTCACAGCCGCCGCCGCCGCCGCCGCCGCAGTCCGAATACTCCCGCCACCCCGCCCCGCCCCTGGTTCGGCCAATCCGGAGCCTCCCGGGACGTGACGCACGTGAATTAAAGCCCGCCCTCTTTTCGCGGAACATAAGTTTATTGGTCGGAGTTGTCAAACCGGGAGCTGAAAACTGACCGAGGGTTTATGTGCTTTATGAACTTCTTTGGATTTTGCACTACAGCTCTTCCTCCCCTCCTCGGGGAGAGCTGTGACTCGATCCGCTCTGCACTTCAATAGTCGGGTCTTATTGACTAGCTTTTGTCCCCACTGGCCTACCTGTTTAGCCCAACACCCTTCTTCCCCCGCGCTGTTCAGAGTCGCGATGGCTGCTGGGAAATGTAGTTCTAGCTCAATTTCTCCTGAAAATGACCCAAACTACAAGCTTTGGTTGTTCAGAAACTGCAGGTGCCTGTTGTGCCCTCCAGCCTCCTCAACGTGTCAAAGGTCAACCAAAAGAAAAAGGACTGTAACTACAATGATCAATACAATGAGCCCTGATAACTGCAAAGGACTCATGATGAAAAATGTTATGCACCTCCAGTCCAGATGGACTCTGAGTACAGATTGAAGCATATTTTTTCCTTTTCATTTTTCCTGGTTGTTTTTTTCCGCTATGGTTAATATGGAAACGTTTTGCAAGACTTCGCATGTATAATGGACACTTCTTGCCTTCCCAATAGGTGGTGTAAAGGCTGGAGGGAAGAACAGAATTTGGAACCCAACATTTAAAAAAATGAGTGTTAGAGAAAAAATAGTAGGAAAGCTTATTGTATGTCATAATAGCTAACGGTTACATAACACTTCAAGGTTTGCAAAACACTCTTTATATATATCAGCTCACCGGATACTGCAGCTCTGCTGTAAGTGCTATTATAATCCCATTTTACAGATGAGAAATGACATGACTTGCCCTGCTATTATTATATCCATTTAACAAATGAGGAAACTCAGTCTGGGAGAAATTAAGTGACTTGCAGAACTAGTGTACCAGAGGTGGAATTCGAATTCAAATCTTCCCGACCCCAACTCCAGCACTCTTTAATGGTGCCACCTAGCTATCTATAGAGGTAGCTGTCAAGTCACTCAAAGTTTACTAAGATTCTGCTGCTTAGAGCTTGGTCCTTGTCTTGCTTTCTTGAAGACAAGGACAGATACAGAGGAGGCAGTTGAGAAGAGGGTAAAAATTAGCACATTATTCTAGTCCACCACCAGAAGATACATCTCATGAAAGAGGTAGAAAAGCATAGAAAATATAAAACAATTTGCTTCATCTTTTCAAAGATGCTACATATATACATTTAGACATGTATCCTAATGACAGCAATATACAATGCAATAATACTGAAGAAATATCTCATATTTCATAAGCTATTACCTTAATGGCTGAGGTCTGTGAAAGGAGAGCATAATGAGAGACTGATTATTACCATTAGCATATATCATGGTAGATATATCTCAACCATTAAAACTATCCCATTAGGTATTCCCTAATACCATGTAACACTGTGGTTTACCATGTTACACTATTCACCAAAGTTATGCTTTGTCTCTCCTTCTCTGCAGAAATACCCAAAGAAATGCAGCTTAGCTTAATTACCCTTTATTCAATCACCTATAGACCACTAGAGACAGGATCCAAAAAGATATGGAAGCAAACAGTATTGAATTATACATTAAGAACTAGGAGAAAAAATAGTAACCCCACTGGAAACTACTATAAGAATGATATCGGGGGGGGGGGATAAGGCATATCTATACAAAAATATTCCATAAGCATTATTCCAGAAAGCAAAAATCTGGAAACAACTCATGCGCCTATCTGGGAAATGACTAAATGAATTTAAGACTTTATTGGTCCTAAAGATAGCTAGGCCACACAGCAGATACAGCTCTAGGTCTGGAGTCAGGAAAACCCGAGTTCAAATTTTACCTCTGATGTTTACTAGCTGTATGACCCTGGGCAATTCCTCTGTTTGCCTCAGTTTCCTCAACTATAAAATGGGGATAATAATGGCACATATGTTGCAATGTTTATTCCTTTCCCTCTTTCTCCTCCCCCAACTACTGGTATGCCTCTCCTCACAAAATTACCTCATGTATTTTATCTGTACTTACATATATATTTACAAGAGGGAAAAACTAGAAGCTTACAGAAAGGCAAATGATGCTTTATTCTCAGGAAAAATTTCTTAACTAGAGGAATTAGAAGAACTCAAAATTGCTTGCAGGGATGCCTGTCAACTGGGGAATAGTCAAACAAGTTGTTGTATATGATTGTGATAGAATACTCCTGTGCTATAAGAAATTACGAGATCAATGATCTTCAAAAAACATGGATAGACATGGATGAAATAATGAAAAGCAAAATGAGCAGAATCAACAGAACATTGTATACAGTAACAGGAATATTGTTTTCAGAACAACTTTGAGCAAATAAGTTATTTCAACTATCATAAACACCCAAATTAACTACAAAGGACACGCATCCAGAGAAAGAACTGATAAATAGAAGTATTATAGAATGATTTTACATATATATACATATACATATATACGTATATGTGTGTGTGTGTGTATGTATATATATATATATACATATATATATATACTTATTTGTGACTAATGGCAGCCATCTCTAGGGCAGCAGAGGAGGGAGGGAAGGAAAAAAGGGAAAAAAAGAAATGTACATGATAACTTTATTATGTATTTAAAAAGGAATAGCAAGCTGTACATAATAGATTTACAGTTTCATGTGCAATCATCTTTTTATTATCCTTTGTTATGGAAATTCATATATTGTCCCATAAATTAAAAATTAAATAAAATTTTACAGAAGAAAAAATAAATAAGTGTTTATTGACCCACAAAAAATAATTAGAGGAATAGGCTCCCTCAAAATTAAGTCAGTTTCCCATCAGTTAAGGTCTTCAAAAGATGGATGTTGTAGTGGAGATTCCTGTTCAGATACAAGTTATCTCACTCAGCTCTAAGGTCCTTTCCAACTCTAAGATGATCTCATAGGCTTCAAATCCCTGGCCAATGAACCCAAATACTTCCACTAAGTTAGTCCCACTCACACAAAAGTGGATCTAGAAGTGGATCTTCCCAACCAAAAGACCTGAAAATGACAGCCTTTTGTATTTGTCAGAGGGTGTCCTGGAGACACTTTGGAGAGGGATGTTAAATTTTTAGTGTGAGCATTTATGAAATCTGAAATAAGCAACTGCTACAGATAGGCTTGATTATGTTTTCTTGATCATGTAGACTTCAGAAAATGATGTAAAACATGTTAATAATGCAGATTAAACTTAAAAGTGTGTCCTGTGTACATTTTTTCCCCAGAGAGCAACTGCAAAACATTTACTAGCACATCCCAGCCTATAGGTAACAGAGGAGAAGAAATAAGCAAACAAAATATGGAAACTGTGGTGCCTATTTAATTATGAAGCATTCATGCCCAGCAAACCCTCTGGACTATGGCTGCATCTCACACACACACACACCCATTCTTACCCCCACCTCTCCTTCCACACCCTTATCCCTACAACTCACACTCACAGTTCAGAGCCCCCAGAGGATTTCTACTCCAGGTTCAATGTAGTCTGTGAGTTCATGTTCCTAGGACTAAAGCTCACCGGTCACAACCTATACATTTACCTTTAGCAGCTAAAGAACACAATTAGCACCAAGAAAAGACATTTACTAACATGTTACTGTAAGTATAGTGGCTACAAAATGTTTCTCCAATAAATCTGGAGTATACCCTCCTACAAATTCAGAAGCAGTGAGGAAAGTGGGCACATTCATAGGGTTCACTAGTAAAGGCACACACTTAGGGAAATACATGTAGCCAGGGTAACTTATACCTCTGAGCTTCAAGACCCTAATGTTCTTTTTCTCTGGGCAGAGCATTTGTTCTTTATGTTATTCCATTGGGTTCTTCTAGCTCCCTACCTGATGTCTCCTATTGGGCCAGTATTTCCACAGCAAGACACATTGCCTGATGAAGGGAAGAGAAAGAAATCTTCCCAGCAAAAGTCAAGAAAGAGCCAACTCACTTTTCAGAGCTGGATTCTTCTTCCATAGCTAAAGCTCATGCTCCTCAAAGCTGCTCCCTGGCTCAAGTGATACTCTAGGCAGTGGCTCTCAAACTGTTTTTGTCTCAGAACCCACCCTTCTCAAACACTGAGAGCCCCCAAAGAGCTGTTTTTATGTAGGTTGTATCTGTTGATATTTACCATAATAGAAATGATAATACCTTAGTATTGTTATGAAAATTATTATGAAAAGCAAGAAAGGGTTTCAGAGATTCCTCAGGGATCCCTAGACCACATTTAGAGGAATACTGTCCTAGAGGGTATGTCTTATTTTTTTCTTTGTTAGTTTGTTTTAAATTTTGGAGGTAATGGGGGTTAAGTGACATGCCTAGCTAGCTAGTTAGTGTCTGAAGCCGGATTTGAACTCAGGTCCTCCTGGCTCCAGGAATGGTGCTGTATCCACTGCATCATCTAACTGCTGAAAACCAACTTCAAAAGGAATAAAAGAATACAGTTTTCCACCAAGATAGTATAACATTTCTGGCTCTACTACAAAAGAATAGGCAGCACAGTAAATGGAACACTAGGTTTGAAGTCATAAAGACTTGAATTCAAATTTGACCTCAGGCACTTACTAGCTGTGTGACCCTGGGCAAGTCACTTAATCTCCTGCTTCAGTTTCCTCAACTGTAAGAAGGGGATAATATTAGCACCTATTTTCCAAGTTTATTGAAATGATCAAACATGGTAATATTTGTGAAGTGCTTAGTATAATATTTTAGCACATAGGAGGAACCTAATAAAAGCTTGTTCCCTTCCCCCTCAAAAAATATTTTTTCTTATCACATTTTAGGTTCCTAGAACTTGTTTAGGGTAGCTAGGTGGCATAGTGGATAGTGTCAGGCTTGAAGTCAGGAAGACTCATTTT